TTGAATTCAATGAAAATAAAGAAACAACATACTCGAACTTATGGGACACTATGAAAGCAGTCCTGAGAGGAAAGTTCATAGCACTAAGTGCCCACCTAAAGAAAACAGAGAAAGCACATATTGGAGACTTAACAGCCCACTTGAAAGCTCTAGAAAAAAAAAGAAGCAGACTCACCTAGGAGGAGTAGAAGACTGGAAATAATCAAATTGAGGGCTGAAATCAACAAAATAGAAACACAGAAAACAATCCAAAGAATCAATGAAACAAAAAGCTGGTTCCTGGAGAAAATCAACAAGATAGATAAACCCCTATCCAAACTAATCAAACGAAAGAGAGAGAACACGCAAATTAATAAGATCAGAAATGAAAAGGGGGACATAACCACAGACACAGAGGAAATTCAGAGAGTCATTAGATCTTACTACAAAAGCCTATATGCCACAAAACTGGAAAATGTAAAAGAAATGGACGCTTTTTTAGATAAATACCATGTACCAAAACTAAACCAGGACCAGGTGAACAATCTAAACAGACCTGTAAGTTGCGAAGAATTAGAAGCTGTTATCAAAAACCTCCCTACCAAAAAAAGCCCAGGACCAGATGGTTTCAATGCAGAATTCTACCAGAACTTCCAAGAAGACATAATACCTATACTCCTTAATGTATTCCACAATATAGAATCAGAAGGGTCATTACCAAATTCCTTTTATGAAGCCACAATTACTCTGATACCAAAACCACTCAAAGACTCAACCAGGAAAGAGAACTACAGGCCAATCTCACTCATGAATATCGACGCAAAAATCCTCAACAAAATACTGGCAAATCGAATCCAAGAACACATCCGAAAAATTATCCATTATGATCAAGTAGGCTTCATTCCTCAGATGCAGGGCTGGTTCAACATACGAAAATCTATCTATGTAATCCAGCATATAAATAAACTGAAAGAAAAAAACCATATGATCATTTCATTAGATGCTGAAAAAGCATTTGACAAAATTCAACATCCATTTATGTTAAAAGTCTTGGAGAGATTAGGGATACAAGGGTCATACCTAAATATAATAAAAGCTATATACAGCAAGCCGACAGCTAACATCAAATTAAACGGAGAGAAACTCAAAGCCATCCCGCTTAACTCAGGAACACGGCAAGGCTGTCCACTCTCACCATACCTCTTCAATATAGTGCTTGAAGTTCTAGCAACAGCAATAAGACAACATAATGGGATCAAGGGGATTCGAATTGGAAAGGAAGAAGTTAAACTTTCGTTATTTGCAGATGATATGATAGTGTACATAAGCGACCCCCAAAACTCCACCAAAGAACTTATACAGCTGATAAACAGCTTTAGTAATGTGGCAGGATACAAGATCAACTCCAAAAAATCAGTTGCCCTCTTATACACAAAGGATAGGGAAGCAGAGAGGGAAATCAGAGAAGCTTCACCATTCACGATAGCCACAAACAGCATAAAATATCTGGGGGTAAATCTAACCAAGGAAGTGAAAGTTCTATTTGACAAGAACTTTAAGGCATTGAAGAAAGAAATTGAAGAGGATACCAAAAAATGGATGGGCCTCCCTTGCTCTTGGATTGGGAGGATCAACATAGTAAAAATGGCAATTCTACCAAAGGCAATTTATAGATTCAATGCAATCTCCATCAAGATCCCATCAAAATTCTTCACAGATCTTGAGAGGACAATAATCAACTTTATATGGAAAAACAAAAAACCCAGGATAGCCAAAACAATCCTATACAATAAAGGATCTTCTGGAGGCATTACCATCCCTGACTTCAAACTCTATTACAGAGCTACAGTAATGAAAACAGTGTGGTACTGGCATAAAAACAGAGAAGTCGACCAATGGAATCGTATAGAAGACCCGGATTTTAACCCACAAACCTATGCACACCTCATTTTCGATAAAGGAGCTAAAAGTATGCAATGGAAGAAAGAAAGCATCTTCAACAAATGGTGCTGGCACAACTGGATGTCAACCTGTAGAAGAATGAAAATAGACCCATATCTCTCACCGTGTACAAAACTCAAGTCCAAATGCATTAAAGACCTCAATATCAGTCCGAACACACTGAACCTGATAGAAGAGAAAGTGGGAAATACCCTACAACAGATGGGCACAGGAGATCGCTTCCTATGTATAAGCCCAGAAGCACAGACATTAAGGGCAACATTGAATAAATGGGACCTACTTAAACTGAGAAGCTTCTGTAAAGCAAAGGACACTGTCACTAAGACACAAAGGCAACCTACTGACTGGGAGAAGATCTTCACCAACCCCGCAACAGACAAAGGTCTGATCTCCAAAATATATAGAGAACTCAAGAAACTAGACTTTAAAATGCTAATTAACCCAATTAAAAAATGGGGTACTGAACTGAACAGAGAATTCTCAACAGAAGAAGTTCAAATGGCCAAAAGACACTTAAGGTCGTGCTCAACTTCCTTAGCAATCAGGGAAATGCAAATCAAAACAACTTTGAGATATCATCTTACACCTGTCAGAATGGCTAAACCCAAAAACACCAAGGATAACCTTTGCTGGAGAGGCTGTGGAAGAACGGGTACCCTCATCCATTGCTGGTGGGAATGCAATCTTGTGCAACCACTGTGGAAGTCAGTGTTTCGGTTTCTCAGGAAATTCGGGATCAACTTACCCCTGGACCCAGCAATACCACTCTTGGGAATATACCCAAGAGATGCTCTATCAAATGACAAAAGCATTTGTTCAACTGTGTTCATAGCAGTATTATTTGTAATAGCCAGAACCTGGAAACAACCTAGATGCCCTTCAATGGAAGAATGGATGAAGAAAGTATGGAATATATACACGCTAGAGTACTACGCTGCGGTAAAAAACAATGACTTCTCGAATTTTGCATGCAAATGGATGGAAATAGAAAACACTATCCTGAGTGAGGTGTCCCAGACCCAAAAAGATGAATATGGGATGTACTCACTCATAATTGGTTTCTAGCCACAAATAAGGACCACGGAGTCTACAATAGGTGAACCTAAAGAAGCTAAGTAAGAAGGTGAACCGAAGGAAAAACATATAGTTGTCCTCTTCGCTAAGGGAAGTAGACCAAATTTCCGGGGAGAAAATGGGATCTTGGGGGGGGGGGTGGGATGGGGGTAAGGGGAGATGGGGAGAGAAAAGGTAGAAGGGAAGGAGGGGGGACCTGGGAAACGGGAGAATTGGGATAAAGGAAAGGTGGATAGGGGAGCACGGAACCACAATTCTTAGTTAAGGGAGCCACTTTAGGGTGGGCAAGCGACTTGACCCTAGAGGGGCTCCCTAGTGCCCAAGATGAGGTTCCCAGTTAGTTCCTTGGGCAGCTGAGGATTGGGAACCTGAAATGACCCTATCCTAGAGTAATACTGACGAATATCTTGCATATCATCATAGAATCTTCATCTGGTGATGGATAGAGATCGAGACAGTGACCCACACAGGAGCACTGGACTGAGCTCCCAAGGTCCCAAGGAGGAGCAGAAGGAGGGAGAACATGAGCAAAGAATTCGGGACCACGAGGCGTGCATCCACCCACTGAGACAGAGGAGCTGATCTACGGGGAGCTCACCAAGGCCAGCTGGACTGTGACAGACAAAGCATGGGATAAAACCGGACTCTCTGAACATGGCGAACAATGAGGGCTGATGAGACACCAAGGACAATGGCAGGGGGTTTTGATCCTACTTAATGTGCTGGCTTTGTGGGAGCCTAGCCAGTTTGGATGTTCACCTTCCTAGATATGGACGGAGAGGACCTAGGACTTAACACAGGGCAGGGAACCCGGACTGCTCTGTGGACTGGAGAGGGAGGGGGAGAGGAGTGGGGGAAGGGGGAGAAGGGTGGGAGGAGGAGGAGAAGGGTGGGAGGAGGGGGAGAAGGGTGGGAGGAGGGGAAGGGAAATGGGAGGCTGGGAGGAGGTGGAAACTTGTTTTTTTGTTTATGTTTTTTTTTCTTCTTTTCGCAATATAAAAAAAAATAAAAATAAAAAGGCGATGTCTTTAATTTCCCAATATTATAGAAAAAAAACCCTTAAGACATTGAATAGATCAAACTTTTATTTTGGTGGAAGGCTACAGTTTTTTGTTTTGTTTTGGCATTTAGGACTTACTTTATGTGTATCGATGTTTTATTTTCATGTATGTCTGTGCACTGTGTACATTTGGTGCCTGCAGAAGCCAGAAGAGCGCATTGGATCCTTAGAACTGGAGATAGAAACACCTTTTAGCTTCCGTGTAGGTGTCAGCCAGCTGGAAGCTGAACCCAGGTCCTGGACAAGAGCAACAAGTGCTCTTAACTGCTATCAGAGCCAACTCTCCAGCTCAGTAGGGGGCTATTATTTTTAAGTATTTAAGAGATTAAAGGCATGCACCACCATGTCCTTGTGTGTTTTCATTTATTTCTGAAAAATAAAAGGTAGAAACATGGGACAGAGACCTGTTTCAGTGTTCCTTTCCTAGGACCTGTGTGTGCTGTGTACAAGACAGAGGTGAGCTGGAGAGGAATCCCCCGGGAGACACATCAATCACTGCACAGTCATTGAAACCAGGCTGCACTGTAAACAGACTTCAGCTCACTGACTCCTAAGCAAGTAGCTCCCTCAGCCTTTGTTTTCTTTGAGCAATTCCCCTCTGTCCTAAACCGCAGAGAGGTGATTAAAAGAAACAAATCTCTGGAGAGTCGGATACCCTGTGGCCAAGGCTAGCCCTAAGAAAGGGTTTATATTGCGTAGATGACCTAGAAAAGTATCTTCCAGCTCCCATACAACCCCACCACCAAATATCAAGCGACCTGTGGCACCTAATCTGATTTAGGTAATAGTACATACACTCACTGACAGAACTATTCAAGAACATTATGAAGTGAGCCTACTTCTTTTCCTATCCTTGTGGAATAAAGGGGAAAGCAAAAGCCAGGCAAGCTGTAAAAAAAAAAAAAGATGACTAGGTTAAACTTACATATTAGGGGGGAAAAAAGTCTTATTTTCCAGCTTTGATCTGGTTGTCAGTTGGAATGGATTTGCCCAAGTGATGGCCCACAGAAAGGCCAAATTTGTTCTTTTCCTGCTCCTCTTGAATCTCTTTTTTCAGTAAGAATCCTGCCTGGAAGTTGAGGTCAAACATGCTGCTTGGAGGAAAGTAGAGTGGCTTCTCCTCCCAGATAGTCTCCAGGCGCTTCTTCCATCCTTCCAGGATCTGCCTCCGAGCATCTGGTGGGGTGTGGCCAACGCCGTACGCCAGTTGTGGTTCCAAGACCTGGAAGCCACAGAAATGCAGGATGCCATTCTGCAAGAGACAGAACACAGAGTTAAGTCACAAGAGCAGTCTGGCAGACTGTACTGTAAACAAGCATCAGAAGTTGGTCTGGGAGCTGGAGAGATGGCTCAGTGGTTAATAGGGCTGCCTGTTCTTCCAGGGGACCTGGGTTCAATTCTTAGCACCCACATAGCAGCTCACAACTGTCTGTAACTCCAAGATCTGACACCCTCATACAGACATACATGCAGGCAGAACATCAATGCACATAAAATAAAATATATTAAAAAAATAAGTTGGTCTGGGGGCTGAGAACTGGCTCAACCATTAAGATTTACTACTCTCTCAGAGGACCCAAGCTTAGTTCTCAGCACCTATGTGGAGTAACTCACAACCACCTGTCACTCCAGCTCTGGGGGACTGGATGAACTTTCCTGACTTCTGTGGGCACCTACATAAATGTAGCATACACACACCGAGCAATAAAGTAAATAAGTATAAATCTTAAAAAAAGAAAAATAAAAAAAATAAACTGTCTGGGAGTTGGAGAGAGGGCTTGCTGGTTAAGAGCACTGGCTGTTCTTCCAGAAGACCTGGCTTGGGTTGCCAGTACCCACATGATGGCAACACCTGTTCCAGGGGACCCAATGTCTTTTTCTGACCTTGACTGACACTGGATACACACGGTACAGAGATGTGTGCAGGTAAAACTCATAAAATAAAAATTAAAGTTTTAAAATTTGTTTTTGGTTTTTGACATAGGGTTTCTCTGTGTTGCCCCAACTGTTCTGGAACTCACTCCACAGACCAGACTGCCCTCAAACTCACAGAAATCTGCCTGCCTCTACCTCCCAAGTGCTGAGATTAAAAGTGTGCACCACCATCACTTGGCTAAAGTTTTAAAAATATTTTAAAAGGGTGATTTGGAACTGGAGAGATGGCTCAGAGTTTAAGAGCACTGGCTGCTCTTCCAGAGGTCTTGAGTTCAATTCCTAGCAACCACATGGTGGCTCACAACCATCTATAATGAGATCTGGTGCCTTCTGGCCTGTAGGCAGACATACAGGCAGAATATTGTATAAATATTTTTTTTAAAAAAAGAATGATCTCGGCTTGCCAATTAGAGAGTCCAGTCAGACCTGAAGTGCCCTGGGGAATTGCCACAGTTCCTTCTCTTACCTTCTGCCCTCCCTCCTTTTTCTGTCACCTCATTTAGCCTCCTTGGTGGCACTTTCGTTTGAATGAATAAAAGCTTGAAACTGTGCCAACCTCGATCCTCTGCCAAAAGAGCCAGAAGTTCTATTACATTAGGGAGAGCTCTTGCCCCTTGGCAGTGGCTCGTGCCAGGGCATATGGATGTGCATTTTCTGCCACTCAACATGGTGAGTCTTTACGCCGCACAGTTCACTCAGGTCTTCTCCAGTCCCCTTCCTTTATCCTCAGGGTCCAGTGACCCCAAAGCCCACCTCCAGAGCAAGCTGAATGAACTCAGTTCTTATCTTGGACGAGGGAGCCAGATGTACTGGTCTATGCCTTAAACCCAGCACCCAACAGGCTGAGGCAGGAGGACTGCCACAAGTTTAAGTCACCCTGGGCTTACATAATGAGACCTCCCTTTTGAATATTGCTATTTTTATTTTATGTGCTTTGGGGGTTTGCCTGCATGCATACGTGTGAGGGTATCGGATCCCCTGGAAGTGGAGTTGCAGACAGTTGTGAGCTGCTATATGGGTACTGAGAATTGAACCCTGACGGAGGAAGGTCATTGGCTAATAAAGGAACTGCCTTGGCCCATTTTATTGGTTAGAAGATAGGTGGGAGGTGTAAACAGAACAGAACGCTGGGAGGAAGAGGAAGTGAGGTCAGACGCGACAGCTCTCCTCTCAGGAGCAGACGCCTGAGAGAGACGCCATGCTCCGCTCCCAGCATGAAGCTCCGACCCAGGATGGACATAGGCTAGAATCTTCCCGGTAAGTGCACCTTGGGGTGCTACACACAGATGATTAGAAATGGGCTAAATTAATATGTGAGAATTAGCCTAGAAGAGAATGGGCCAAGCAGTGATTAAATGAATACAGTTTCCGTGTAATTATTTCGGGCATAAGCTAGCCGAGCAGGCGGCTGGGGTGTTGGGGATGCAGCCCCACCGCCCTTATTATTACAGAACCCCAGTCCTCTGAAAGAGAGGTCATTACCCTTAACCGCTAAGCCATCTCTCAGGCCACGACACACCACACTGCACCACCACTAATCCTTTTTTTAAAAGCAGGGAGGGGAGGCTGGGTAGATGGCTCAGCTAGTAAAGGTACCAGCCTTGCAAACCTGATGGAGTGAGCTAGAACCCAGAGCCCATGTAAAAAGTGAACACAGTGGCATGAGTCTGTATGCTAAGTCAAGATGGGAGGAGGGGCATGAGAACCGCTCAGAAGCTCCTTGGTCTGCTAGCCTCCACTATGGCAACTCTCTCTCTCTCTCTCTCTCTCTCTCTCTCTCTCTCTTTCTCTCTCTCTCTCTCTCTCCTCTCACTCTCTCTTTCTCCCTCCCTCCCTCCCTCCTTCTCTCTCTTTTATAAAGGAAAAACAGAATGTTCTGGGGCTGCAGATACAATTCCAGGAAGACTGGGGAGTCCAAGGCTTTGACTCCACACGCTGAGAGCCAGGTGCACTTTGGTTAGGAGAGACTATTTGGCCATGTACCCCAGCGGCCCGGGTCACAAACTCCTGAAGGAAGCCCTGGTGCTGCTGCATCATTTCCAGGCTTTCCTCCTCACACCTCGGGTCAGTTTTCGGTTACTGCCTGGAGGTTTGGACTCCGAGGAATGCTCGGCTAACTAACTCCCCTGGAAGTTCACCCACAACAAGGTACCTGAAGTGGCCAGAGGGTGATGTTTATGTCCCCATTGATACCCTGAAGAGAGAACATGGAGCCGCTACTCCCAGTGGTGAAGGAAAGCAAGGCCTTCTTATTCTGAAAGAGAAAACAACTGTCACCCCCTTCTCTCAGGGGACCCAGTGAGTTAACGAGCGTGGCCTCAGGGAGAAGGACGAATCCGTCCATCCTACTGGGGCTGTCATTTCAGACCAACTCCTCTGCAGCTTCAGCGTGACTCTGCACATGTTCCGACTGTGGCTGTGACCGGCATGTGTCTGTAGACAGCCATGACTTCAGCGCAAATCACAAACTCACTTCGAACATTAGGAGATGGCCTGGCATGGTAGATGGCCATTAAAGTACATGGCTTTAATCCCAGTACTCGGGAACCACAGGCAGGAGGATCTGTGAGGTTGAGGCCAGCCTGGTCTACAGAGTGAGTTCCAGGACAACCAGGGCAACACAGAGAAACCCTGTGTCAAAAAATAAAACAACAAAAACATTGGCGGCACAAGTCTTTAATCCCAGCACTCAGGAAGCAGAGGGAGGTGGGTCTCTGTGAGTTCCAGGCCAGGCTGGTCTGCAAAGAGAGACCCTGTGTCAGTTTTTTAAAATTTAAATTTAAAAAAAGTTACAAGATGTTTCTTGCCTCTATTTATCCTCCAAATAACAAAGAGGGCTTTTTTTTTTTTTGGTTTTTGGTTGTTTGTTTGTTTTTTAGTTGTTTTATTTTTTTCCAGGCAGGACCTCAAGTATCCCAGGCTGACCTAAATTAACTCTCTACATAGCTGAGGATGACCTTGAACTCCTGATCTTCCTGCCTCTACTTCCCAAATGGGATTTTAGGTGTCTGACACCAAGTCATCAAATTTTCGTTTTATTTTTCCTATGGAAAAATCTCAAACATGAAGAGAAAAATAGCACAGCGCGTGTCCACCAGACATCTTAAAGTCCAGTTCATCTGTCCTGTGCCACCCACATTCCCTCCACACCCACTTTTTCATTTTTTCTGGAATATTTTAAAACACAGTCCAAGGGCTGGTGAGGTAGCCTAGCTGGTGAAGGTGCTTGTCACCAAGAGTGACAACCGAGTCTTAACCCCCAATCTGCAAGTTTACCTCCACATACACACCAAGGCACTGTGTGCCCCTCCACATAAACAAACTAGGGGACTGGAGAGATGGCTTGGGGGTTAAGAGCAACTTGCTGCTCTCCAGTCGACCCAGGTTCAATTCCCAACACCCACATGGTGGCTCACAACTGTCTGTGACTCCAGTTCCGGGGGATCTGGTACCCTCTTCTGGACACCTTGGGTGCTGCACACATGTGGTACACAGACATGCAAGCAGGCAAAACACCTATAGGCATGAAATAATAAATAAGCGTAAATAAAAATCAAATCCAAAACATGGTATCTTTTGATTTATAAGAGCTGTACAATGCTCCCTGGTCTTAGAGTCAGGCTGTGTTCTTGGGGCAGCATCTACCCAGGAAATGCCCAGTGGTTCACCTACCTGGAAAGGACCGCTGTCATACATGGTGGCATATGTGTAGGCGAATCCTGCCACAAGCACTCGATCAAACCAGCCTTTCAGAATGGCAGGCATTCCAAACCAATACATGGGGAACTGCAGGGCAGAAGACACCCAAGGTCAGCTCTAGGTACTAGCCTGCCATCCCTTCCTCCCCTAGCCAGGAAGAGCTCAGGTGCTGAGCAACTGCCCACAGTGTCACTGTAGAGTACCTTCACCCTTATGATTCCCTCAGAAAAAGTTAGCACATTTAGCAAAACAGGGATAACCAGGGAAGTGCCTTGCTCCCTTGGTATGAACTACTTGGTGAGGCCGGGCTGCAGGACTGCTGAATGCCAAGAGTTTGAGGACAACCCAGGTAGCATAACACACAGACACACACAGACACACACATACAGAGAGAGAGAGAGAGACAGAGAGAGAGAGAGAGAGAGAGAGAGAGAGAGCTCCCCCACAGACACACACACTAAAACTGGATGTGGTAGCGAGCATCTGCTATCCTAAAACTCAGGAAGCTAAGGCAAGATACTGAGGATTTAGGGCAGCATGGGCTATATACCTAGACCATCTCAAAAAAGCAAGAGAAGAAGAAATATAACAGGACATCCTATCAATTCAGGAGGCTGAGGCTGAAAGATTGTGAGTTCAAGGCTAGCCCAGGCAGCATAGTGTACTCAAAAATAGTCCCAGCACTCAGGAAGCAGAGGCAAGTTGATCTCTGTGAGTTTGATGCCAGCCTTGTCTACGTATTGAGTTCTAGGTTAGCCACGACTATATAGGGAGACCCAATCTCAAAAAAAATAAAATAAAATAAAAATCAAAAAAAAACACAACAAAAGAAATCAAAATAAAAGTAACACAGTGCTAAAGAGAGAGTTTACATATTAACAGCGCATACTTCACCAGGCAGTGATGGCATACACCTTCAATCCCAGCACTCGGGAGGCAGAGACAGGTGGAACTCTGTGAGTTCAAAGGCCAGTCTGGTCTACAGAGTGAGTTTCAGGACAGCCAGAAGTACACAGAGAACTTCTGCCTCAAAAAAAAAAAAAAAAAAAAAAAAAATTTTAAAAAAAGTACATACTTCTCTTTTAGATGAGCCAGACTCAGTTCCAGAACCCACATTGTTAAGTGGTTCAGAAGTCTAGCTCCAAGGGATCCAACGCCCACTTCTGGTCTCCACAGGCACCTGCACCTACATACACATACTCACTCACAGACACATAGCCTACATCATTTCAAAAATTTTTCCTGATGTGGTGGAACACACCTTTGAAACCAGCGCTCTGTGGGTTCTAGGACAGCTTATTCAACATAATGACTCGAAGCCAGCCAGGGCTACACAGAGAGCCCTTGTCTTGAAACAAACAAAATACTAAAGAAAAATATATGGTAGTGCCTAACTCAATAAGAAAAGAGGAAATTCTGTCCTTGGCCCTGACTCTTTTTTTTTTCTCCTAAAAACTACAGCTGCTGGCTGGGCGTGAATAAAGTCGCATGCAAATAAGATCCGTTTTTATGGAATCCAACTGCTACCAAAGTGCAAGTAACAAGGACGGCAAAGCGCCTTTGCGTCCGCGAGCAATGAGAGAAGATTTTCCCAAGAGCTTGTGTTAGCAGACGTCTTCCCAAGACGAGCCTCCCTTGTGCACACAGATCTACAATCCCATCAACTAGAACAAACAGACTCACTCAGAATGTAGACCGCTGCTCACTGTGACTAAGGTGTATCAGGGGCCCCATGAGAAAGTCTTATCTGGGGTACTGTTCAGTGGCAGAGCACATGCCTTGCACACTAGTCTGAGCCTCTGTTATCCATCCCCACAACCCAAAACTGCATGTTATCTGCCCTCTGGTCCCAATGAAAGCTGAGGAGAATCTGCTCAAGCCTTTATTCCCCTCAAAACATGGTTCAAAGCTCATGAACACATCCAGGAAGAAAGCCAGGACAGAGAAAGAAATTGTAGGGCTTAGAGACATGGCTCAGTCCATAAAGAGCTGGTCTCAAAAGCATGAGTGCCTAAATCCACTTCCCAAGCACCCCTGCGAAAAGCTGGGTGTGGTTTCACATTCTTCTAATCCCAGTAACTGCGGCTGCTGGGATACTGCACATCGTAGAAGTCACTGTTACTCTCAAATGGTCCGGGATAAAAAAGGAGCAGAAGTACACATTTGAGAGCCCACAGGGAGAGTCCACTAACTAGGCACACTGGGAGAGAAAAGCCAGGGACTTCTGTGTCATCTTCGTGACCGTGTTTCTACATGAAAGTATAATTAAACCCAGTCTGGTCAGCAGATAAAGTCACCAGCCATCAAGCTTGATGACTTGAATTGGATCCCCCAGACTGCATTGTGGAAGGAGAGAACCAACTCCTGATAGTTGCCCTCCAAGAGCAAAGGGCAAGTGTGCATGCACGCACACACGCGCACGCGCACACACACACACACACACACACACTAATGTAACTTAAATAAGTACAAAAAGTGCAGGAAGCTAAGCCGGGTACTATTTGTGAAGCTACGCAGTGCCACCCTCTAAATGACATCATTTATTCAGAGGGAATGCAGAGAGTGACAAGTCCAGGGAACTGGACAAACAATCCAAACATCGCTTCCTTATGATTTCTGCCCTAGCCATACCTGAAATATCACGAGGTCTGCAGCTTCCAGCTTTTTCTGTTCAGCCACAATGTCTGGGCTCAGGCGGCCTTCCTTATAGGCTAGAGCTGTCTCTGAAGAGTACTGAAAGTTTTCGGGGTCCTTCGGCTTACCTGTCGGGAGGAAAGAGGGGCTGAGGTTGGGCCACAGGGTCTACTGTCAAGGGAGAGAGACAGTTCTTACCTGTGATGTCCTTTCTGGAAACGATGGGGTTAAAGTTCATAGCATAGAGGTCGGATTCAGTTACTTCCCAACCTTGCTTCTTCAGAGCCTCTACGGCAGCCTCCTTCATGGCGTAGTTGAATGAAGTCTTCTCCTCATGGGCCAATACAATTAGGGCTCTTCTCACTGTTTAGGAACAACACAGTGAGATGTGGAAGAGAAACTCAAAGAGGCTGAATGAGTCACTCATCTAACATGCTTGGGACCAGACATGTTTCCACCTTAGTTTTTTAGATTAGGGAATAGTGGCTAAGATTATCAATTGAACAGCTCTAATCTGAACATCTGAAGTCCAGCAGGCTGATGAGATAGTTCAGCAGGTGAGGGCGTTGTCACGTCTGATGACCTAAGGCCAGTCCCCAGGACCTATAGGACCCATAGGGTGGACGGAGAGAACAGGCCTCTGACGTTATCTTCACCTCCATATGAACTATGTACACACACACATACACACATACACACACATGCATACTCCCAATAAATGTAATTTATTCATTTTTAAAAGTCTCAAGTCCAGAGTCAGGCAGTGTTGGTGGACGCCTTTAATCTCAGCACTCAGGAGGCAGAGACAGGCGGATCTCTGTGAGTTTGAGGTCAACCTGATCTACAGAACGAGTTCTAGGACAGCTAGGAGAGAAACTCTGTCTCAAGAAATAACCTATATAAATATGAATGTTTATTTGGTTGACACCACTTGTACCACAGGCGAGCCATGCCACCGCTCTCCCTACAGCCCGCTGTTAGTGGAAAACAAATGCCCTGCACGGTCCAGTCACTCTCAAGACTGAGTTACTGAGCACACAGAAAACTAGTTCTATCAGCCATTTCTGTAACATCAGCATCTGGGAAGCTGAGGCAGGAGGACTGCCACAAGTTCCAGGAAAGCCTGAGCTACAATGTAAGACCCTGTTTCAAAAACAATATTCAAATGTTCCTGTTTCTTCCTCAATAACCCTCATTTCGTGTGTACACATAAATACACAATGTTCTGTAAGATGGTACACTTTCTTTTTATTTTTGAGATGAGTCTCCTAACCCAGGCTGGCCTTGAACTCGATACATAGCTGAATTTGAATTTCAGATTCTCCTACCTCTCCCTTGTAAATGCTGGCAATTGTGGGTATGCCTTTCTGTAAGACTAGAAAATAGAAAAGTTATTATTTAGTTAGTTATTTGGGGGGGGGGGTGTTTGTTTGTTTTTGAGACAGGGTTTGTCTGTGTAACCCTGGCTGTCCTGGAACTCGCTCTATAGACCAGGCTGGTCTAGAACTCCCAGAGATCTGTCTGCCTCTGACTCCCGAGTGCTGGGATTAAAGGCCTGCGCCACCACCTCCTGGCTAATTCATATTTTGAAAACCTATGTGCTGGGTAGTTTTTGCCAACTTGACATAAGCTAGATCACCTGGGAGGAGTAAACTTCAGATGCTGAAAAACTTCCTCCATCAGACTGGCCTGGGGATGTGTTTATGGGACATTCTCTTCATTAACAATAGATTTAGGAGCCCAGCCCACTGTGGATGGTACCACCCCTTCGGAAGCAGTCCAGGGCTGTGTTAGAAAGCAGGCCGAGCAATCCTATAAACAACATTCCTCCAGGGCCTCTGCTTCAGCTCCAATCTCCAGACTCCTGCCCTGCCCTCCCTCAGCGATGGACTGTTAGCAGGAACTAGGAGAGGGAATTTACACTCTCCTCCCCAAGGTGCTTTAGGTCAGTGTTTTCTCACAGCAAGAGAAAAAGAAACTAGGACTGGACCTGGCATCAGAGTGGGCTCATTGCTATGATGGACCTCACAGCGTTGTTTTGAGGACGATGGAAGGATTTTGGAGCTCTGGGCTAGAAGAGCTATTGAGTGCTCAGAGTATAATGAGCCTTTGTTGGGAGCGTGGAAGATAAAAATGCCCAGCACAGTGCAGATGGGGGCCTGGCTTGTGACGTTTCAGAGGGAAGTTTGAGAGTCCTCAAAGACTCTAGAACGGCTGTTTTGTCATGTTTTATAATTGAGACTCTGGCTTCTGGTCAGCTGAAGAACTGGCTGTGATTGACAGGGGTCTAGCATCACTGAAGTGAACTCTTTGCTTTACCGGGCCACCTAATCCTGGTCAGCTGCTGCTGAAAACCAGGCTGTGATTAGAAAAGATTAACAGCACTGAAACGAGATCTCGGGGTCAGCACTCAAAAGCTGTGGTCCCAGAACAGGGGAACAAGACTGCACCTCAAGCTGGCAGCTCAACTTGCTACTTCATTAGCGTCACCAGGTGGGACTGGTTTTGAAGGCATGAAGGGATCATAGAGAGTAGCCGAGGCCTGGCACTGTGAGAGACCAGGGGAGGCCATTGGTGAGGTCCAGCCTCCGTTACAGTGGAGACCCCAGGATATCGGAGACACAAGGACTGTGGAATGACCATCAAAGACGCAGCAGGTGTGGAGTGGAGATGTCCTGAGCCAGGAGACGAGCTACGTGAGTTGCAGGTGGCACAGCTACAGAGGCAGGCCTACCAAACTCCCTGGAGTCCCAGATCTCACACACAAAGCCGTTACGATTGGACGTTGGTTTTGCTTCGGTCTGAAGCTGTGCCCTGGTGCTTTTTCTCTCAGAATAGGAAGTATTTAGCTGGTTTTTTTTTTTATTTTACAGGCACCTGCAGTTAAGAGACTTTGGCTATTTTAAGGAAACTTTGAACTTGTAAAATATTGAAAATAAGGAGTGTGGTTTTTAAAAGGTGGACTGTCTTACCCTGTGACATTAACATAAAATCTTGTGAACAAGAAATAAAAAGTAGTGATATGTCTACTTGTCAAGTGGACAAGGGGTCAATTGGAATTGCCTCCATCAGACTGGCCTGTGGCCAAGGGGGTCATTTTCTTGGTTAATGATTGATTCTTTGTCCTTGGTGTCACCCTTGGACAGGTGCCCCTGAGTTATTTAAGAAAGCAGGCTGAGAAAGTCATGGAGAGCAAGCCAGGAAACAGTTCTTCTGCTTCAAGTTTGTCCTCCAGGTTCCTGTCTCAGTTTCCCTCCGTGATGAACTGCGCTGAAACACACCCTTTCCTCCTCAAGTTGCTTTAGGTCAATGGTTTAGCACAGCGACAGAAAGCAGGCTTGGACACCTGAATCAGAACCATTGTTATCATTTTTCTGTTTTATTTTTAGTTTTGTTAATCTCCTCTAATTTACAAATTAAATTTAGTCAGGCATGGTGGCACACAGCTGTAATCCCAGCACTGGGGAGAGAGGCAGGAGGATCAAGAATGTAAGAGCAGCCTAGACCAAAATGAGTTCAGATCCAGTCTGACCAAATTGAACAAATAGATGAACAAATAAACAAACATTAAACTGAATCGCAGACATGGGGGTATAAGAGAAATGTGATATGCATGCTCTCTGTCTGTCTGCAGTTCCAATGGAGGGGTCTTGAACATTTACCCCTCGTGCATAAATGGAGAACAGTGTACAAAGAGAAACTAGCAGACACAGTCTCACCGGCTCTTGGAAACTCTTCCCTGCTCGCTCTCCCAGCAGTGCAGGGTAGAGCTTCGCGGACACTCCCAGCCAGTTTCCTAGGAACTGCAATGGTACCATACCAACCTCAGCGTTGACCTTATCCCCTGCCTGCTTTTAGCAAGGGAAGATCCTGAGTGTATTTGTGGGGGCTGCAGTAGTTTTAGGGGGAAAGTAAGTACAAAAAGGTAGACTTCCGCCCCAACTGTGGAAAGGCTGCCTAAACCTTAGTGCTGCCCAGACTCAGAGCCAGCCACTGTGGGGAAGAAGCACTTAGCCCCGGGGGCTAGTTGTTCAAGCAAGCAGCAGATGCCAGTTCGGTACTAGACAAGTGGGGTGGTGACCTCCAAGGACCTCTTCGCATACTTACCCCCTGGGATGATGAAAAGGAGGGAGACTGTCACAAAAAAAGATCAAATATCCAATCAGATTTCCCCTTCCAGAATCACCATAGGAACCGTCCAGGGCCAGTTTCTCGGGGCAGGCTGGAGCTGGGTCCCAGTTCTATTCTTCCCAGCTTTAGCCCAACCCCATCTCTCCATCTTGTTTTCTTTCAGAACTTGACAATTCCTTTTTCTTTTGTTGGTTTTTTTTTTTTTGTTTTGTTTTGTTTTGTTTTTGACAGAGCCTCTCTCTACTATGTAGCTCTGGCTGTCCTGGAACTCACTTTGTAGAAAAGGCTGGCCTCCAACTTAAAGAGATCTGCCTGCCTCTGCCTCCTGAGTGCTGGAATTAAAGGGGTGCAGCAAGCCCAGCAGAAGTCCCTATAAATTGCCTCTGCATTTTTAAATGTTAGCACCTTATTTCCAAATGCTTAAATACTCTCTGGCCTGGGCTGGGGGATGTGCGCAGAGCTCGGGTGGTAGAGAGCTCACCTAGTATGCACCAAGTCCTGGTTTCAGTTCGGTTCCCAGTGCCATCTAAACCAGGCGTAGCAATGCACACCTACAATCCTGGCACTCAGGTAATGGAGGCGAGAGGACCCTAAGTTCGAGGCTGTCCTTTGCCATGCAGCGGTTTTATGGTCAACCGGGGACACATGAGGCCCTATCTCTAAATAGGCCAGCTCTGTTAGGGAAGGGGCTTTGAAGGGGCAACGCTCAAGCTGCCCTCGGGTGAGGATGAGCTGCAGAATAATTTGCGCCTCTGGCTAAGAACAGAGGCTCCCCTTCCAGAGACTAGTCAAGGCTCATGCAGGACCCTAATCTCTTCACTTTCCCTCTTTGAGCAAGGAATAAAACTCACAGCAAGCCCCTGCATACTCCTGGGGATGAATCGCCTGGAGCTGGCGCTGCACTCACCTGCCATGGCTCCTGATGTTGAGCGCAGATTGTAGTACCAGATGCTGACAGGCTGAGCAGCTGGTTGTCCGGACGACCCTGCAGAGTTACGGAGAGATCTGGGGCTGCAGTCTGGGCTGAGCACTTGTTAGCTTTATATCCTGCCTAATCGGCCCTGCCCATCGTGTAGGGCAGCCAGCCAGCGAAGGCGGGGCTGGATTCCGGAGCCCAGAGGCTCTGTGGGGAGGATCCCAAGTTACTGGATGGGAGAAGCAGTTTAGGGCTGGAATAGGGCTCCTCTATATGGAAGTCAAAAGGGTTTCCTGAAAGCCAGGCAGTGAGAGGGGATTTAAGGACATGGGTACATATGGGGTAAATTCAACTGCCCTCTGCTGGAGACCTCCTGGGTACAAAATGGAAATTTCCAACAGTAATTACCTGAGCTTTATTGGGCTTGCTCACATATCCGGCCTGTATGGATTAATCTTTACAATCTTTTTCTGAAGCCCTGAGAAGTAGCCTTTCCTTGTAAAGGGAAGGGTGAGGCTAGCAAAATCCTGGCTCAGATTTTGCCAAGTCACTGTGACTCTAGACTGAGCGCCTAGAGATTTACACAAATATTTACATCAGAGCATAGAACAAAAAAAGGTTTTAAATCTCCGTAAGCAAGCATTATGGTTGTGGAGCATGTAGCACAGGCCTTTAATCCCAGTAGACAAGAGTCAGAGGCAGGCAGATCTCTGTGAGTTCAAGGCCAACCCGGTCTACGTAGTGTGTTCTAGGACAGTCAAGGCTACATAGTGAGACCCTGTCTCCAAAACAAAACAAAACGAACAAAAAACCAAATTGGTAAACTCATCCTACAGAAGAAAAAGGGCCCTCAGAGGACCCTTTGGTTCCCAGCATCTCACAGGGTGGCCCACAGAGGACCCTTTGGTTCACAGCATCTCATGGGGCTGCCCACAACCAGTTGTAATTCAGCTCCAGGGGACCCATCATCTTCATCTGACCTCAGACAGGAAGGTAGGATCTGTTTAGTCTCAAACCTTTTACCTGACAGATCCGACCTCCTGGCTAACTGAGGTTCCTATTTAACAAATTCAAAGCAGACCTGGCTAGCAGGATCTCTCAGAATCCCTCAGTCCCTACCTGTCACAGGGTATGGCTGGCATACCCTGACCATACCCTGAAAACTTCAGGCCAGGAGCTACCTGCCTTTACCCCCAAGCAGTTCTCCCCTATATAATCCAGACATCTGGGCTACACCAGTCCTTTTTACTCTTTACCCTCCTGGTCTCTTGGTCTCCCTGGTTTCCTGACTCTCCCATCCCTGTTCTCAGAGACCAGGCTCAGGGTCCGGTTCATACTGGACTCTCCCAGGTGTTTCTGCCTCTGGCTATGCTCTCCCTTTTATTTACCATAAAACTTCTTCTCCAGGACACCTAGGAGCAGTCATGTCGCCTTTTCTTTCCATCTTTCATTCAGGATCTGGAGTTGCAGTCTTCCTGGGTGTTGAGGTCAGGCTATGCTTTACTCTAAGTCATTCCACAGTGTATAAAACAGTGGTTCGTCAGGCAGTAGCCCTGTCTCATAGACTCCATTTTACAAGGACCTAGAGACTATTCCATCTGTCCCACCATCCATCCAGCATGGACTAGAAATGATTTACTCATGGGAATAGAAAGGACACATCCTTAGGTTTACTGGGGAAACTTAAAACTGGGAGGGTCACATGGGATAGCAGGGAAGGAGGTCCTTGTGCTCACAGATAGGCACGAGGGGAACCAGGAACGCTAAACACACACGGTTGTCTCTTCAAAGGGAGAGATGGATAACCTGTTTTCTGCCCAGAAGATGTGCTTAATAGCCTGGTGACCTTTGGGCTATCTATGTGGCCAAGAGGACACCAGATCCTCCCCAGACCCTTGTCTCAAACTTGTTTTCTCAGTTAATACACAGAACTCGTCTTTATGGAAGATGTCATTTGTACTTAACAAAGAGTTTTGATGTGAGATTGAGTGAATTATCACCAGGAAGCTTTTCACCAAATTGTTCTGTGCTTAATAATGCCTCAATTAAGCTACTTGGCATCAGACTTGAAGTTTGTTACTTTTCTGACTATGGTGTTTGCAAAGACCCCCCCCCCCCCGCAACATGGGTACATTAAAATCATATCAGGGATTCCAGGTCCAGGGACTTAACAGATATTCCCAGTAGAGGAAAGGGCATAACTCCTTCAAGTGGACTGCATACATGAAATCTTGTTTCAAAACCAAAACCTAGGAGCTGGGGACAGAGCTCCATCTGTAGAGGCTCTCTGCCTCCTGACTGTGGATGCAATGTGACCAACCGCCTTCAACTTCTACTACCATAACTGTTCTGCCATGACAGACTCTACCCTCCAACAGAGCTAGAGTAACCTCCTGAAGTCACTATTGTCTCAGCAACAGGCAAATAACCAACACACCACATTGCAATGTTGGGCATTGGGTTTTCCCGTGTTTCCAAACATTTAGTGGCTGGAGGCAATGCTTCGTGTTATCTCTCAAGTGTAAAGAAATGGCAACATAAGAATCACAATTTCTATACTAAAAGGAATAAAAGATGATTTATTCTGGATCCATTTAGAGTGAGCATGACCCAGAAAAACAAATTTAGGTTACTCAGAATTCCATGTTCCAATGCGGAAGCAGTTTCACAGGGTTTCTGCAGTTTCACAGATCAAAGAAAGTCTAAGTCAAGGCAACTTTACAATTTGTGGATACACCAGAGCAGCAGATGCATTGAGATAGGGGTGGGGAGTGATATTTTATAGCCTGAAAAGGCAATCTGATGACCTTCTTGGAGCTCTTGGGTTGGCAGAAGCTAAAGCAATACTAAGTTAATAGCTTCAAGGAGGTTTTTATTTATTATCATGAGATGTTAGTTCAGATAGAGTGGGAGCTGGGCAGTGGTGATACACACCTTTAATCCAGCATTCAGAAGGCAGAGGCAGGCAGATCTCCAGAGTTCCAGGCCAACATGGTCTACTGAGTGACTTCCAGGACAACCAGATATACACAAAGAAACCTTGTGTGTTTTGAAAAGCCAAAGAACGAAAGGAAGGAAAGACTCAGATACTGATTGTGACAAGAAACTAAGACTAGCCCAAGATAAAGCAGTTAGCCTCAGAACCTATCAAATTCCAGACTCTCTTCAGTACTTAACTTTCACCTGGTAAATCCATGTCTGCAGACACAACACAGACTCCTTCGAGGAGGTTTGTCTTTGATGCTGTTGTTGTTCACAGCCAGACAGATTCTTTTCAGGCATTTTATTCACTAAGTAAACTATTTCCTTCAAAATACAAAGTAAATTAAACCAGGTATGGGGAAGAACACCTGGAATACCAGCACAGAGAAGGTAGAGGCAGGAGGATTCCCATGAGTTCAGTGTGAGATTGGGCTATATAGTAAGTACATTTAACAGCCATATGCTGCAAACACACATACACATAGGAACACACACACCTACATGTAGGAACACACACATACACATACTCATGATGAGGAACCTCCTTCAGCTAATGGCTTTTAAGAGGCTGGACCAGGTTGGGTGTGACCTTGGATACCAAAAAGCATGCAAATACCCCCCAGTCTCTCTCTTGCCCCCCCCCCCATTCATCTCACCTGGATGTTGGATTCGGTTCCTGTTTCCTGTTGTGATCTGTGAGTTTCCCTTTAATAAAAAGCCCCTATTTATACTCTATTTGGATCTAGTGTGGGTTTACTTTATTCAAATTCCCCACCACAAAAGGCTTGTTCCTCTTCATCTGCCACCCATTGTGGGAACGTGTCCATGCTTACCAGGACACCCCCCCAACACATTGCTGTTACTCCAGCTGGGACCCAAACCACCCTGCCCACAGTACGATGCTGCAACTCTCTCCATGTATGGAATTGTTTAAATTATCCTTATTAACTGCTCTAAAATTGTCTAGCAAAGCATATTTGCTAGTATCTAAGTAGGTACAACAAATAGGCAAAACCAAAGTGGAGTTGTTCATCTCTCTTTGCCAGATGACTGTAATGGTGACACCTGCTGGCCAATAAAGATTATTATACCTTCAACAATTCACTGAAATTTCCTGAGGAAGGAAAGTAAATTAGTTATTTAAAAGTTATATGATGACAGACAATATTACCATTTGGGAATTAATAACCATTTTGTTACTCTGTGGATGGTACTCTGCAAGGCTTATGTGATTTTCCTTATACACCATTTATTTGATTTTTGGGAATTAGCATTGTTTTTCATATTATATCCTTAAGAAAATGGTTTGATAACAGAGCCAAGAATGAGATACTTTTAGAAATGATACAATCTTTACAGACTAATAATGAACAGCATTGAAAATGATAGCATACATTAATTTAACAGACAAAATTAAATCCATGTCAGTGGGTGCTGAGAAATTATCTGAAAGAATTTATACTGTTGAATTTAACAATCAGAATCTGTTTAAAAAGTTATGATAAGTTAATGGATAGGTTATCTCTCCAGGAAGACAATATGCATGTCATCCAAACAATATCCAAGGATTAGATATTATCTTTACTGGAAAAATTTCATACTTTGGAATCATATGGGCAGAACAAGGACCAGAAGCTAAATGAATCAATAAGAGCCCTAAAAGAGAACACAGGACAGGAGATTCAGACTTTACAAAAAGCAATGGTAAAAAGATTTGAAACAATTGAAGAAATTATTAGAACTGTTGAACAATGAGTGAAGGTACAAGAACAGGATTTAGCCTGGTCAGTACATACCAGAGTCCAAAATGATTTATGCAGAGTTATAGCTGCTTATCCAGTAATATCCTCTGATAAGCCATCTGGTACTAAATACCTTAAAGTATTCAAAGAATGTAAATAGCAACTTATAAGTATGAGTAATCTAAAGGAAATTAAGCAAGCAATAGTATCTCATGGCTTACATTCACCATTTGTTAGGGAAATGGTGAAAATGTTGGCTTTAAGCAATAAGGCTTGCCTACACACAATTGTCTTCAATTAATTTCAGCAGTTCTCAAAGAAGGAACCACAGCTGCTATGGAGGGGCTACTGGTAAAAAGAGGGAAAAATTTAGAACAACAGAAAAAAGCAAAAGGATTTGGGGCTTCCCAAG